ATTGAAATTTTAGCTTCAAATATTGAACGTCTTTATTACGTCGTGATTGAATTTTAAAATGAAAGAAAAAGAATCATCTTATTCAAGCTGATTTTTTTTCTTTTACTTTTGAAAGGATACGTTAAGAACTGGTTTAATAAAAAGCTGATCTTTTCCGAGCTTTATTTTATTCATTCGAGCTATCTGACGTCGGATATATGTATAATGCGCAAACTTTCTACGTCTTATTACGAAGTTCATAATAATGCTCTACTATGAAAATTCATCTGTATTAAGCATAGAATATTTTTCCTACAAACAAGAAAACGTACATGTGAAATATTGTAAAAAATAAGGTATTGTTGTCTATCAATACCCCCGCACACATTATTTCAAGCATAAATTCAAGTCAGAATCTACAACTGGAATGAAAAGTCATTCGCCAGATATATCTTTTCTGCTCTTCTCATCTCTTCATATCAACGGAATTCATCCATCTACAAGTAAAAAAAACTAAGGCGAGGGAGTGGTGGGGAACACATACACACATACGCACGCACACAACCCTCAAAGAGCATCGTGCAAGCAAACAAACTCGCACTCGGATAAGATGTAAAAACCCATTCGAGATAAGTAGTGCGTAGAAGGTGGATATATATAAAGATGCGCTGCAAGGATAGCGAGGTAACATCGTGCTAAGTTTATACGCGCGAGCATATAAAGGTTTACCGTAGCGCACCTGCACGAAGCACTTAGTCCGAGGGCATTGCATATGTGCGCAAACGTATCAGGCAGTTGCCGCACGATTATATATGTCGACCAAGACAAAAGCAAAGAGGGTTTTGTAGACGAAGAAAAAATACCGGAGGTAATTTCGCGGGAGAGGGTCTGCAATTGGCAGATGTAATCTTGAGATGATTTGTAATGTTATGATGATAAAAAGTGATACTTGTTCCCTTTGCGTGTACTGAGATGGGGTTGAGGTTTTTTAAAATTCAGGACTCCAGATTCTCGAACCTTTACCATCAATTGTAAGCAATATGCCTTCAAATATAAGATGTAAAAATGCTTGAATGAATATTTTCTCAATAAATTGAGTGTCACCCACAGTTGTAAATATTACCTGAAAAATTTTACTCTCGTCAAGTGTAACCTATTGTTTTGTGTAACCTACTGGTCGGTAACCTATTGTTTGTCACTCCAGCCTAAGCAACACTTCAGTCTTAGTACCAAATATTCATATTTATACACATATGTACAGTGACATAGGTATGTTGTAATATTTTTATAATGGAACGCCTTCATGCATATATAGTTTTAATATTCGATATGGTAGATATATTGTTTATCGCTTTCAGTTACAAGTGTACAGTTCAATTAATTTACTAAACACTGTAATAGCGTACTAGTATAATATTAATTGTGATATTAGTTTTAAGTATTTTGACAATGTACTTTCTGAATGGCTGTTATATTTTAATGACTCGTACGTATTTTTTCGTATACAATGTACAATTACATTAGATCTATCTATTTTTGTAATGGTTATAAGTTTTATAATTATATCGTTTGAAGCTTGCGACAAATTTGTAAGTTATAGCTCAATTTATGAATGCTGTGAGTTGGATTAATTGTCTTTTATTGGATTAATTCAGCTTTATAATTATCCTAGTTATTCGCTGAAACGAAAGCTCAATCCAGTTCTCGTTAAATTGAAACTTTTCATTGTTATAAGATATACACATTTGAAAGAACGTTTAGTATTTTTAAATATTTCATTCGCAAACTCGACGGTACCCAGTAAATCCACATAGTGAAGCTCGCTTACATTTGGAAAACTTGATGAATCCCCCACAGCGCAGTAGATAACTCTACGTCTGGTCAGGCGTATACGCTTACGTAAAGATTTGTCGGTCGTTAACATGAACTTTAGATAACGTTTCAATCGGATCAATATATATATGTATATATGTATAATGAGAGCGCACATTTATGTGTTTGTATTTTGAAAGCAGTTTATCTATTCAAGATGATGAATTATTCGATAGCAATTATTGTTTTACGGCAAATCGATGAAGAAGATAATGCCCGCATACCTCAAACAGTTACCTTCTTTCTAGGTCAACGCTACCCAAGGGGGTAATGCAATCATCACTATATTCGGTCACTCCTATCATTCGTTATTTATGAAAATCAGGTATTCATTAGCCGTACCTCGCCTGCAGCCAACAGCAAACTTAACTTTTCTTTCAACTTTTCCGCACTCGTTATTCTCGCGGAAATTACAATCTCAATTTTTAGTCGCATTACTTAACATTATAAATTCATCAGATCCTGCCGTTCCGCTGATGAAACGACTTTTTTTATTTTCGTTATATCGCACTTACAACAACGAACACAAAACTTTACTGTGTGCTATAAGTAAGCATGGTCTCTCCAATATTACCGTCAATATAAAGTTCAGCCGTAAGTATTCGCTTTTAACAAAATTCATCGAAGTAAGCATTCTCAGCTTTTCGCCATCATAGAGAAATGAAATGATGAGTCTATCGAATATTCTCGCGTGCGCTCTTCATTATTTTTTCCCCGGTTACCTTGCTCTTTATATCTTTTTGTCACACGTTACTTTTCTATATCATTTATTCATACACTAGTCAACGCGAGCACGCTTAGTCACGGCGTTCGGAATTTTCCGAAATGGTTTGGCAACACTGAATTATTGAAGACGCCCCAGCAGCTTATGCGCTTCTTGCGAGAGAGCGAAATTCAATTTTGGATTGCTATGTTGTTATAGTACACGAAAGCAATACCATTATTTAAATTAAAAATTGATGGCACTGTTTGGTCGTTTTCGTTTGAACAGATAAAAATAAATAAATAAATATAACCGTTCTTTTTATTCTAGGGTGCGGATACATACGCGCAGTTTATTCGGCAACTGAGCAAAAATACATTTTTATGTGTGGTTTTGAATAGAAAAAATATTTTCGCTGAAAAAAAGTATTACAACTAACTGAACATTTCTTACAAATTCGAGAATCACGAGGTTAATTAAAATGTAATCCCTTTGAGCATCAGCAATGAAAAAAATTCATTATTCTGATGTGGCAAAACAGAATTCCCTAGTTTGTCATTACGCTTTGAGCTTGTAATAGATTGCTTTATGGATTCGTGAAAAAAAATTTTGAGACAAATATCTGTAATATTCGACCGGAACTACGTACTACAGTTCACGTAGAATCTAGAAGAACTCGTTAACAGTGTAAGTCGTGATCCCGAGAAAAACTATAAAATCGCAATTCGAAGGCAAGTGAAAAAGCGTCGAGGGGGTAACAGCCGCAGTGAAGAAGAAGAATAACGAAAAAAGAGAATCTTTGAAGAATTCATAACAGCGTATTGTATAACAGCAGCTGCAACGTAGTAAACGGATAAGAAAACGAAAATGGTAAAAGTTATGTCGTGCTAGACTGATAGTTCGGCAAGTTTTGCGCGAGCGAGCGAAAGAGCGTGAGCAGACGCTGTGTAAGTGCAGCCAGATTACAAATTATTTATAGTGTGTAAGGGAGATGGGGAGGGGGCGGGGGGAGGGGGGGTGGTAACGCTATACTTGCCGCCATGGCGCGACGTGACCCGACAAAGGAATAAAACTTGACTGACGGCATCTGCAGCATATTGTTTTCCGTCGCTCGCGTCATTCTTGCCGCGCGCACGCTCCCGAGAAATTGGATAGTTCAAAAGAGAGCGAGAGAGAGGGAGAGAGAGAGAGAGAGACAGACAGAGAACAAACTTTGATGCTATACCGCCGATATTACTTCTCAACGGAATTTATCTGCCAGCGAAGTTTGTGACAAACAATGACGCGTTGCACCCCTGTGTCCAGGAGAAAATAAAGTTTGCGAGCACAAGGCCGAGAGAAGCTAAGCGTCCTCATTATTATGCAGTTGATGCGAGCGAACTTTTTTGCGCGCTCTTCTACCTCTCTGCAGCGATGCGTGCACGACAAAAATGGCTAACAGGCTAAAGCTTATTTCGGTTCGAGATTTGCAGGGCGCGTGATGCAAGCGGCAAATTGGAGAGCGACGGCACGCTATGGCGTTTTTTTTCTCTCCTTTGCACAAGTAAAATATACTGGGCAAACGAGTGACGGCAACAACAAAACGATTGAATAACATAAGCGATGATTGGAATAAATGTTTGTACAAATGGTATTAAGCCAACTCCCCGCGCTGTGATGTAGGTTGCTCAGCGAACTTCATGCATCTATTTGCATTCGCTTGAGGCTATGCGGCGCGCGACGGTGAGCGCTGCCATACGTGTATAGCGCATATCCTCTGTCTGAACGAATCCCGATATTTTCACTGAAATATAATGAATTCATTTGCATGATAAAAAGTTCGGTTGTGCTGAGACAACCATCAAGAGAATACGTCTCTTTTTGGTGTCCGTCAAAATCCAAGATAAACACAGCGAGAAGTTGAGATATAGCTTACTTCCTCCTCTTTTTTTATCTCTTGATCCTGGCGTGAAAAACTTTTTCTTCGTGGAATGTGCGGCAAAAAGAAAAAAATGGAAGAAAACAAAGAACAGAGGAGACTCGTGAGCAAGGTAAACATAATGATATAAAATGCAAGGCCAAGATAAGCCTGGAAAATTAAAGTACCTCCCAGCGCATAATTGCCCCGAAATAAGTTGCATGAATAAATATAACGACTTTTTCAGCACGTGGCAAGTTGCGGCCGAAGCGGAATAGAACGAAAAAATGGAAAACTTTGCCACGGCTACAGCAACCTTTTTTCTCGCGTGTTCACGTAATTGTAAAATAATTCGAAAAATAAGGTTGTTTTATCGCGCTGGATTCTTCGAACTATGCCTCGCAAGCCAAGGTTGCTTCTTTTACGAAAGATTATGAATATCTCGTGCAAAGAGTTTGTTTGCGGAATGAAAAATATTGTGAAAGGTAAAGCTGCTACTTCGGTCGAGTTTGTGGAAGAACGATATTACAAAAAGCTGCCCAATTTCAATTAACCTATAATTTTAAATCCATTTAATTTATACTTATTTCATTGATTAAATTGAAGGGAGCTGATTTATACTATTGTTTAATTAATAACATTAAGCGTGTTCACTTACCTGCGTTAATTTCCTTTCGAAAATTCATATTAATAAGATGACGTAATAAAAGACAAAATTAATTGGATATGTCATTTATACACGCTTGAATCGGACGACCAATTAATTTCAGTATTTACAAGGATTTTTAATCTAGCCATTAGCAATCAACGCTGCCAATCAACATTAGCATCTCTTTTAAGAAAACGCCGGCAAAAGGGTTGGGTTTCAATATCAATGTATCGATATCAGCGAGCTTATAAAGCCGTGATCAACTGTCGCAAAAGACTCAAGGCAAGGGCAGAGTCAATTCCTAGCGAGCACGGGAAAAAGAGTAAAAGGTGGAAGAAGGAGCCGGGGGGAGGGGGGGGGGGGGAGGAAAATTCAAGTATCTCGGAGGAGCCAAGAAAGCGAGCGTAGTGAGTTCACATGGCGAAAGGGCGAATGTTTACGCGAGAGAGTCGAGCGTCGTAAATCTGAATGTTCTTTGAGCGTAGAGCTGGAGAGCAGGAAAGGAGAGCCGGGGAATAGCGGTATACTTCTTGGCACGTAAGTATATGCAGGCGGCTGTTGATACTCACTAGTAGCGCTGACTGCTGGCCCGATGAGCGAGCGCCTGCTGCCGCTGGGGACGAGCTTGTCCGGCTCTGCAACACATTATTGTAATTATCCTGCGGTACGTACACACATAGGTGCGCGGAGAATGCTCGTTAATTACCAAGCCTACGTTACACGGTCCAATCTACCTTAATACTGAGCCGCCTCTATGATTCATTGCATTATAAATTCGCCTACTAAGCGCGAGCGAACGACCGAGCTCCGATATTAACGTCCGAAGCGTTTCCCGTTGCTTGTTTATCTTACTTTTCGCTGGGCTCCGAGAGACGGTCATTGTCTATATATACTCCACTATATACTTTGCCCAGCGATTCGCCGACGCTTAATTATACCTTTACTCTGAGTTATCTAGATTTCACTCAAACGCCTTTTTTTCCTCTTTATTTTCAATTGAACATTCACCAGAATATTGTTTATTACGACACGTAAAATGGACGCACGTGAGAATTATCAACTGAACGATTTTATATAATTGGCCATTGATTTTTCATTTAGCTATCTGTTAAGCTATCTCTTAAGTGAGTAACGCTTCTTTTGACTGCGAAACATCATTTTTTTTAATGGTAATAATTGAATGTAAATAATAACATTCATATTTGCTTGTTCTATCGTGCAGTAATTCAATGTGCAAAAACGTAATGGGAGCGCATCTATAGATTTTATTGCAAAAGTTGCAACGGAAAAATTGATTTATACAGAAACCCTTTTTAGCTACTATCAACGACAGATATGGCTGATGTATTATTACCGTTCGTAGTTTAGATTCTTATCAGCTGGTCGACCAACCAACCACTCGGTAAAGCTAGCTTGTTCACTAGAGTTTTCTACCTTACCGTCTATCCGACTGTAGAGCTCAACGTTGCGTTAGATAAATTCAAACAAAAGTTTCTGCAGTACCGACATTATTGATCTCTAATTATTTTCCAATAAATTACGTTAAAAGTTATTATTTAAAAAATTATATTTTAAGAATTATAGCGTGTCCTGTAAAGACAATTAGAATTTTTGAATCTTTCGTGCTTAACACACTTAAAACATGGATGACAAATGCAATTAGATCAATTTGAATTATTTCATCTATAGTTTAATATCTAGAAATTATTAAGATTGATAAAACATCTAATTCTAAAGAAATTGTACTATTTTTAAATGCTCTAAGACATGTTTGATAAACGTAAAGCTGTGAATACAAAAGAAAATCATGGAAAATCGTGACTTCTAATAAGACCATTGGTATTAACCGTGTCAATCTTCATTCACTCTTAAAAATTAGCTTCTGCTCCAAAAACAGTCAATAAATTTAGAATGTATTCCAAATCTTTAATACTATGTAAGCATTTTCAAAATTCAAAATGTATTTTCAATTAAAGAAACCAGCAAATTGCTTTGGAAATGCGAGACATGTCACCAATTCATTTCAATGAGCAGCCAAGCAAATACCATCTCCTACATGGTTTACCGTAGATCAACATCTATACAGATACAGACGACGACTAGAACGATGGAAGAAACCTCGTTCCTCTCTCTCTCTCTCTCTCTCTCTCTCTCTCTCTCTCTCTCTCTCTCTCTCTCTCTCTCTCGAATCCTCGATTGAAATTAGCTTCCGACCCCGATAGGAACTTGTGGCGACACCACCACAGCTTGCATTACGGACTTCGCTTCGAGTAGCTTATTTGCAAGGATAGCTGCTTTGTGAATAAAATTATTGGTTGTTTCGTTATATACAAACGAAATTGTTAAATATTTCCTCTGTTATCGTTGCAATAGTACATATGTTACGAAAAATACAACGAAAAGTTACCTCGCTTTATAGTGAGTGTTTTTTTTATCGCGTCTACTCTATTTTTTTTATTTCGAATCACTCGATCATTGAACAACGATGAACTACATTGATAACATACTTTGTAATCACGAAGAGTGGTCAAGCAACAAAATCCTGTTATACATCGGTAAAATTTTCTAAATTGTATTTATCGATATACTGAAATATCTGGTATTATTCATTATGTAATATTCCATACGGTATTTTATAAAATTCGTAACTAGAATCCATACGTTATACCGTGCAATATACGTACGCATGAGCATTATTTTTAATCTCGCGTAAATTCCTTTACAAAATTTGGAACAAAAATCAAATGATACGGCAGATTATCGGTAGAAATCTATTGAAATTCATGAATATTTATCAGAAGGATTACTAACAATCTTAATACTGAATCGGCAATATAATATCAGAATGGTTATTTGCGAGCTTATGCCTTTAGATTTTAACGATGGTAAACCCGTTTAAATTTCTCAAATTTCAATCAAATCATATTTCATGATTATTTATGAAAATCGCGAAACTCTTACAGAAGCTCACTATAAAGCAAGAAACAGTAAACTTAGAAAATTGAATCAATGCACATGTATAGCAATATAGGCCATCGCCATTATCAGTGCGATATACGCTTCTGCAAAGCTCGAGCTGCTCTCTCTCCCAATCGAAGCGTGTGCGTATAATGCGCTGCTTGCTATATATACTATTGGCATTATACGCGCCGCGTGTGCAACGGAGCAAACAAGCAAACCAGACATAGTATACCTGCGAGGTGGTCATCAATGGGTTGGAACTGAAAAGTAGCCTTGAATCCTTGTCCAGGCCACTTGGAATTGGCAACGAAGTCAATGAGTAACTCAGGCCCAGTACTCAGCACTTCTACTTCGGTATCTTGATTGCATAGCACTGATATTGTCGGACGATCTGTATCACCACCGTCGTGTATCCTTATTAGGTCAGCTCGATTCAGGCAACTGAAAGAGGAGAAAATAAAGATTTTTTTTACGTATTGTTTTGTTGTGTGACTAATTAAAAACTAGCGTGAGAGTAATGCTTTCATCTCGTTACGAGTTTCAATCTCACTGATGGTTGCTGTCAGAGTTTCTTGCGCGCCCGCTCTCGCTACAGCTTGATTTGCGGTGGAATTGAGGGTGGGTTAAGGATCGGTTGGATATATTCGTTGCGAGGAATGTCAGGTCTGGATATTTACGCTTGAAGTTTTTTAAAACAAAGTTAGTTCCAGTCGTTATTTTCATTTTTTTTAAAGATTTCACATTAATATTGAAACAACGCGACTGCGCACAATAATAAATGTATTTTTATTCTGATTGCAAACTGCATTTTTACTCTTCATAGCTAAGTTCGAGCGCGAGAGTAGCACGATGATTTCATCGGGAAACCGGAAGCGCTATGCTATGCGAACTGTGTCTCAAGCAAACGTACTCGACTTGGAAAATCCAAAGCCCGTATCAGTCGAAAAAAGAAACAGAGTCAAATGTTAGCGTAGTCATGAAAATTATTCAATAATCGCCTTGTTCACCTGCAGTCAGACGATAAAAAAGAAAAAAAGAAAGAAAGGAAACTAAGCTTACATACACAGCAGTAGCTTCCGGTGTGTCTGCGAACCCGATACTTTCGCCGAAAGCCCCGGCTGTCAGTACATAAGAAGAAGAAGGAGATAGGCTTTGCTATGATGGAAAACTGACGTTCCCGCGAAACGGAAGCCGACGCGCAGCAGCAACAAAAAGGAGTTGCGCCTATATACGCGAGAGTGCGAAAGAAGCCGACTTTGCCCTATATGCAGGCCTCCCAGCATTGCAACTTGACGAAGTGCCCCTGCGGATGGGAGAACTAGTCTCACTGATGCTGAGCCGCGATCAGACTTCTCAGACACTCTTTCTTTCGCTCTTTGACTGCTATTCTAACTTGCCTTTTATATACATATAAGCCATCCAGTATTTTTCCTCGTCGGCCCGTTTCCTGCTGCAAATATAAAGCCTACATGCAAATTGCAAAGGAAATGTATCTTCGACATATCACTTTAATTTGCATCATGGCTGTCTCAGTAAAGTGCGAATATTCCACTGCTGATATTTCAGTACATTCCACATAAAAGATATCTGATCGTATTGTTAAATTGAATTCCAAAAAGGGCTTTATCTTACTGCAAATTTCAAGCTCGCTTGTTACAAATTAACAAGCAGACTTACGATAACCGAAAACAACGAGTCACGAGTTTGCTCTGAAGAGGAAGCTTCAATAATTTATAATGAAGCATACTTGTCACAACAACGTCTTCGCGAGAAAAAACAACTAATGAAAATTATGCACAACGTGTTTCTTTCCCTCTTCATTGTGCGTAGCTTTCAAGCACAGAAACAGAATTTTGCGCTCGAAGCGGTAGCGAAAAGGCGCGATGTCGGTTATTTAATAGTGGTGCCTCGCAAAATTCTTTGACAAAGTCACGACTATAATTAAGCATGGCTTTGCGTAAAAGCAACGAAAACAAAAATACAGGTATCATTCTATTCGTGGAATATCGCGGGCGCGCTCTTGAAAATGGAATTGAATACGAATGAAGATTCGTCTTTGTCAAATAGCCTTTTGCTCCTTCCTCTCGGTGGTAGAGAATATGAAAGCTGCAGAGGATCTCGAGAGGCACTACGTGTTCAAACTCGAATATGCAACTTTCAGCAAATAAAAAAAGATGTTTTTTTTATCTCTTTTCCCACTTGCGAAGGCGCGAATACGGATTTTGTACTGAGATAAGTTTTTTCAAACGAATCATTCGCGAAAGGCGTTTTATCGGCATCCAATAAACAAAACTCGAGCCAACTTTCACAAAGCATCGCGAAAGAAGTTTGTTAGAGAGAATTCTGCCCATCCGAAGGTATTACTCGATGTTAATCAATAACTTGGCTAACCTAGCATCATCAGTCGTGTAAAAAATAAAAAAAATAGAATGGATCTGTTAAAAGAGAAATATTGAAAGTTGGGCGCAGGCTTCTGCGATAGTCAGTGTCGCATTTAGTAATCCTGATTAAGCATTCTCCTGCCATCGAGTGAGTACGCGGCAAGCAGCAAGAAAGAAAAGAAAAGAAAAGAAAAAGAAAGCGAGCTTGGCGTGGCGCGGTAGCTTAATCCTTGATAAATCCCTTTGGAAGTCCCTTCCATCGAGTCCTCTCTCTCTCTCTCTCTCTCTCTCTCTCTCTCTCTCTCTCTCTCTCTCTCTCTCTCTCTTTCTCTCTCTCCGGTAATTTCATTCAGTGACGCACTATTGCAACGGAAAAATTGTCTTTTGATATTTTCTTCACTTTTCCTTCCTTATATGCAAGTACGTATGTATGAGGGATAGCTGCATATTCATTCTCAAGATGGCAAACTTACCATCGGTGAGTCTGAAATTTTGTTCCTGCTCATTCACTCTCTCTCTCTCTCTCTCTCTCTCTTCTTCTTCTTCTTCTCTACCGTATCTCTTGGCCGCTTTTAAGTTTCTAGAGCGACGGAAGATACTTGAAGAGCTCGAATCGAGCAGCGGAGTTCTGTCAGAAAGGACGTTAACGTCGATGCTACTTTGGACGCTTGAGTAATTATTCTTGTATCGGTTTTATCGAGTGAAAATTCAGATGACTTTTAGCAGAAATCTTGCTTATTTTACGTAATATTCTGTTTAAATTTTTTTCTAATTAGATATTGTACAAAGACATTACAAGCGATTTACGTATCCGCCAACACTGTGAGAAGAGAACAGAGTTTCACGTAATTAAGAAACTTTGCATCTCGAGCTCATTTGATATTCACGGGCAAGTACATTTTTGAAAATGTTGCGCGTACGAATAATAGCCACAGAAACTTGAACAAGAACATATTTAGAAAGTATATTAAGAATGATAAAAAAAATGCAAGCTATGGTTAGCCTCTTCTTCAATAATTTTTTTAATTTTTGCATGTCAAGTAAAGAAAAAATCGTTTGTTCTGCGAAAAAATGCTTGTGTCACACAGAAACAAAAGAAAGAGTTTAAAAAGTAACTTACCTTGCATCACCTTTTTCGAGCAATAACTCCTCGAAGACTACTCGTATCCGCTCTTTCAACCTGCGCACAGAAAGAAAGGAATAAAAAATGGAAAGGAGAGCTATCAGTCAGTAAATCAAATTCGAATGCCGTATTTGTTGCATGTCAAACCTCACAAATAAGAAGATAAAGAAAACTAAGAGCAGCTAGACTTTCGCGAAAAGGCGAGTAGTAAGTCCAGAGAAAGCACATAGTAGCTAGATAAAATGGAATAGATTCGTTGGACGTGATTGTGTCGGCCACTACTACCGAGCCTCACCCCTCGTTTTTTCGAACACATATATGCACGCAAGCATTGCCTTCGTTATAAATTACCACGGCATTTTGCATTCACACGACTGCTACTCTTTCTGAAGTCGCCTTTTTTTACCTATCTTGTGCTGCCCTCGCGCGGAAGCCAATTATTTTTACTATTGTTGGCGTTTCCGTACTAAACAGGGGAAAAAAGTGACTATGCGAAAGATTTTCGTTTTAAGTATTTAATGAACTTATATCGAAGGAAAATACATTAACATTATGTGTACAGCTCCTCTAATTTTTCAATTACGATTCCTCACATATTGAGTGCCTATTTTTTCACTGTTTTGAAACAAAATTTTAAAACAAATCAAATGTTTCGATGAAATAATGTTCGTTGAGAATAGTTGAGCTTCGAACAATCAATTGAGTTGGTAACTGGCATTAGAAACTTCATGGATAAAATTATCCGACTTTTGTCGTAAACTCGTTGAATAGTATGGCGGTAGTCAGGTGAAAATTGAGTTAGCTATTTGTCGTCCTCGTCGCTGCCCTCGTGAGGTCATAAAATGAAATTTCGCTCGATTTTTCGTTTCGTTTACAACCACTCCACTTAGTTTCATGAAATCAATTTCAAGCAAAAATGTCCATTCAAATTAAATTGAATAAAGAAGAAAAATAAAAGATCCTGTCTATGTATTATTTGTTTTGAAGAGCATGAAGCTTTCAGAGCCACTTATTCTATCTTTAATTAAAGATATACGTTGGTTTTATCCGATCCATTATAAAGGAGACACGTTGAAAGAATAAAGGAAGGACACGGCAAAGCATAAACTCTATTATTTTCCATCCAACTTTACTCTTACGTCTGACGTTACTCTTTTGCCTCTTCTTGATTCAATTTTGTGCTTCTTTTACCAGAAAAAATATCTGGCTGTGAATAAAAAATCTTTCATTTTCGAGAGTACCAGGCTCTATCGTGGCAAAATACCTCTTAGAATGATCAAAATGTCAAAAATACACTAATTTCAACGTGAATTTGCTCAGAAAAAAATATATCGCGATAATAGCGTCGTAGAAAGTGTGAAAGCTCGTTGATTAATCGGATAGCTTACCTCGCTCGAAAGTGATATTGGCAGTGGATGTTCTCCGGGTATGGGGCTGGGTATCGAGGCGAGTAGAAGTGTCCGTGCTGCGGTGTGAATTGCGAGCTGACGAACTGATAATCGCACATCTTGTTAGGCACGAGCTGGCCGTCAGTCTCGAAGATACCTGCAAAGAGGCAAGCGTTTAATTATCGGAGGAGGCAAAAAGATCTCCCCACTTGCGCCACGACGCTCTTCAAACTCTCCATCTTTTCCTACGTCTTTTTACATGACCTGGCAGATGATGCCTTGATAAGGCTGTACTCGTGCGGAATTTTAGCAACTTTGCACTTCCCTTAGTTAGTTTTACTTTGAAAATGTTATCTTGCTTTACTTTTCCTGATGAGCTATATCTTATTTAGGCCAGACATCCTAAACAATGGATAATGAAAAATACATTATTAAGCATATACTTAGTAAACTTGATATTATTCACTATACTCTGAAGTAAGAAAGAAATGTTGGAGTCTTTTAAGTTGTTTATTATCAAGTTGTAAAAATTCTGATTATCACACTTGAAACAACTTCTTATGTCGAATGTCCAATAATAGGTCATAAACCAGCAGTTTCAAGACTACGAACGGAAAATATAAAAGTATATCGGGATTGGTAGTAAAAGACATCGCCACTAGAAATAAAAAAATTTGATGGCTAGCAGTAAATAAGTTACCGCTTTGCTATATGGGGTATTAGTTTCTTATATATGTGTGTGTGCGTGTGTGAGTGAGTGAGTACGTGAGTGAGTAAGTAAGTGAGTGAGTGAGTGTGTGTGTGTGTGAGTGTAAATTTTTGGAATTCCATCACACAATTACTTGTCCCACGAAAATTCAATAACAGTCTTTTTCCACACGTTGTCTTGCTATTATAATAGCTTTATATATTAAAACACTAAACATCACGACAGTAAAACATTGATAATCTGACTGAAATCTTTATAAGGCCACATTATCTCTCAAAAGGCTCAAATTTTAACTAATGTCAATATTTGTATCAATGCACGTGAGATATAGAATTCGCTGAGATTCAATGCAAGCGCGCGAGAGCTTCTCATCGGAAAATGCCTGCGGAGACGTGGCACACAGTTCGCATTGTGTACTGAAGATATACACACAGCGTACATAGTTTGAAGAGCATCTGCTTTGTAGCAAAGTTTTCTGCAAGGAATAGAACATTTTTTCGGTTGTACGCGTGCCAATTGCTTTTGCTTTATGATTCTTTTCAATCGCACTCGCCTTGCAAAAAGCCTTATCGATGACTGAAAGAGAAGAAAGTATTTACCACGATGTACCGCAAGTTTTTTTTTCTTTTTCTCTCTATCGATCGATTGGCAGCTTATTTAGGAGTAAAAACTTGGCAAATAATAGCTTTTATTGTGCTACGTGAGTTTCCGAAACAAACTTTAATACACGGAATTGGAAAGGTACACTTACGTTTTTCTACGTAATCCAACGCTACAAAGTACATTTTTAGTTGAAAGTATCTGTTATACCACATATCGATGTACAACAAGAAGATAGCAATTATTGTTTTGAACGTCCCTTGTGAGGCAAAGAGGATTTTCCAGAGATATCCATACTTACAGAACGGCGGATGAATTATTATTTGTTTGAGCCACTGCAATCAAATTATTGGAGTCCTCCATCATAGAGAGTATCAGGTGCAATAAGCATTTAAAAATTTAATACGTCGTATAATATCGCACTCATTGTTCTATTCGAAATGGAGCTTTTACATACTATAAACTAGCTGCACATGAAAGTCTTGGGCTTGTACGCTCGATCAAAATTAACGTCGACTGCATGATAATGATAAAATTGGCTAAACGAATGATCGAGCAGCCTGTCGACATGCACGCACGTAATAAGCCCAACATAGAGTGGATACGAATTTTCCCATCTGAGTAAGCTATATAATAGGTCCGCCGTCGAAGTTTATACGGCGACAGATTGATAGGTGATCTTTTCGTTTTATAGGCATGTAGCAGAAAAGCAAGAAAAAGAAAGGTTAGGGAGAGAATTCTTATAAAACGGAACTAAGTAGTAATCCTACTTTATTGAGCTAATAAAGCTCTTTCTCTTGAGCGCGAGCGCATACACAGAGCCCAAGTGCATAATAGAGGCCAGCTCCAACCGTAAAGCCAGACGTCATGCTATATCTATACAGCTCTGCCGCCTAACTATATATATCGTATCTCATAAGCACGAGGCTTTTCTTGAAGGTTGAAGGGGGGAGAGCACAGCGACAATCTCCTTTCGCCATGCGTATGACCTCTGGCTTCATGCTCATTCCTCTCTTTTGCCTCTCCAGCTGTTTTATTTCCTTGTGCTTTATCTCTTTTCGCTTACCAATTTTCTTCGTCACACATTGCCTTTGTGTGTGTATGTGTGAAATCTCCTTTACATCACCCTGTCGACTACTTTGAGCTCTTGTTTAATTATGTTACGACCAAATTTCAAGTGAGATTCGGTATCAACGCACTTGCGTATATATTTTGTTAATTAGCATGACACGAGAATGCCAGGCGCCTGGTTACGTAACGACTGAAGTTTTCGCGAAGATTCGTTAGTAATTGCGTGAAAGAGCAGTGTGTTTGTTCATTGAGGTAATTGAAGTGTCCTTTCTTTCGACGCTAATTGTTAGTGGTAAATGTTCAAAGGAGGCGCTTCATTTGTTCAGTTGTTTCAAACACATTGTAAAATTTCGAGTTATTCCTCTATTACAGCTACAAAGCAATCGTTATATATTTAAAACTAGAGAGTTGAGAATGGAAAAGAAATCGTCGTGTAATGAAATTCGATTAGCATGTCTGACTGTATCAAGACATTTTCTACTTGAGCATGTATAAAATGGTATATGAAATACGCAAAAGTCTTTAACAATGAAACTTTCCTCATCGGCAATTCTCAAGCCTCTTTGGAAAAAAGTTAAAATTGCATTCGATACTCCCGGTCAGTCGTCAATCGACCTATTTCTTTTCTCTTTTAGCTCTCTCTCTCTCTCTCTCTCTCTCTCTCTCTCTCTCTCTCTCTCTCTCTCTCTCTCTTGCCGATCAATGGCTTGTGCAGGCCAACTACTTTCGACAATCTGCTGCCTGCCTGTAAGTGGGTTTCCCTTTATGTATAGGGATACAATAACGCTACGTGCCTTAGGACGAGATGAACAGCTCATGCTATTGCTAATGCTTATTGTTACGAGGAGTTCGACTCTGCTTCCTCTCTCTTTCTCTCTCTTTCTCTCTCTCTCTCTCTCTCGAGCTAATCGGCTTCCATAATTTTTTTAAGATCATTACAGCAATGCTCTTCCAATTATTAACTTGCGGAATGAATTTGTGATTATATAACGTTTATAACTTATTCTAAGTAAGAGAGGAATTGAAATTTGTTTTGTTGAATGGAAAGGATTTTTTATGGTGTTTGCGCGCCATGAAATACTTTTCTGGTATAAGAGAAGAGTGTCAACGATAAAAATGATTAAATCACCGAAGAAAAATGACTAATATTGATTTAAGGTGAATAGTAATGATTTGAAGAATGCGAAACGTGACAGTTTAGCTTTGAAAAAGAGCATTGAACCAGATAATTATTGCATAATTCATCTGTTGGCACGAAAACGATTACATTGCGTTTGAAGCGAAGTGAGCATGTACATTCAGTGATCTTGAAAAAATATGTGGCACGCAGCAAAGCTAAGAAGTAAAATTCTGTAAACCTTCTAAAAAATTAAAGCTATTCTTGGAAAAGCTACACGTGCTATAAAATCCAAAGAGAAAAAAGGTGAGTTGCGAGAGTTTATATATAGAGAGTGGCATTTGAAGCTACATGTGCAATACAACTGCCACAGAGCTTAATTTACATTTATGAGAGGTGCTTACATGTTCATTTACCGTAAAAGCGCTTACGCGGTTACGTACAGGGTAGACTAGGGATGGTTGTAGGACCATAAAGCCCGTTTATGTTTGATTGGCGTCCTCGTTCTCGCTAAAAAAGCGAATGCGTCACTTGGCAGTAGCAGTAGCCGCGGAAATTCAATCCAGCACACGTAACGTGTACGGCTTCTGCTGTCGATGTACACGTAGTCGTGTAAAATTAACGTGCTCGCAATTCGTTTAATTTATAAATGTGGCTGAGTGCGGTGAACTTGCGCTGTGGAGGGAGAAAGTTCGCTCGACACAACTTTCGACCTTAATTGTAACGGTCGGGCTATTCCCGCTGTCGACTGACCGCAATAGAACATTATTTACAGGTATAGGAAAAACCAGCTTCGACCAGCGTATGCTGCGCCGAATCGCGATTTTTATTGATCTGGCCATTTCATTATTCGATGGCGTTTGTTTAGTTAAGCAGGTATAGTTTCAATTTTTCTTCGATTTCGGCTTGTAATAAGATAATAAGGAAAAAATTGAATTGAGCAAGTCTTCATTAAAATATTAATTTGTATTTTACATAAATCTATAAAAAAAGTAACGTGTACTTATAAATTATTTAATTTTTTAGCAGAAACTCAACAAGTTTTTACTTGCACGAATCATTTACTTAAAAATTCAAAAAATCTTGATTAATAGAAATGTAATTTAGGATGAAAAATAGCAAAAATAGTAATTTTGCGAAATATTATGTTAGTAAATTCTGTAAAGCTGTTACGAAGACGGTCTACCAATAGAAAATACAATGGTGTTGTCTTTTAATTCGGCTAGGTTTGAACGTCAGCTTTCGTGCGGTTTTGTAAACGCGCTGCACCTCCACGATACTCGATTGCGCCGGAAATTGATTTTCCATGTGTACAAAACGACTCGCGCTCATGGACTCTTATGAAATTTGATATTAATTTTGAAATTGTTATTAAACGATGATTTATTGTATATCTCGTGAAGAATCTTCTAGAAATATCGAATTTTTATCTAAGTCTGTACATATTAAATATTTGGTTTACAAAGCTTGAAATGAAATACAGATTGTTGAGAAAAATCACAAGACAAAAGTCAAGAGCACTTGAAAAATGAGCGTAAAGCTTGAAAAAATAAGCAGAGTAGGTATACAAGCGGGAGTAGTTACAACAGAGCACTCATGAATGTATATATATATGTATAACACAGGATTATCGTAAAGGCTATAGAGAATAGTCTAGCGT